CTGATCCGACGTCGCTGTGCTGCTGCGCCGTTCCCGGCCGCGAGGATCCGCACATGCGCCTGCCGCGCTGTCGGACGTCGACGCCGCGCTCCCGGGCCCAGACCCCTTCGGCAACGCCATCTCGAACGGGTCCTTCTCCAAGATTGTGGCGCCGGGCGTGCGCACGGGCTGGGTGGCGGCGACGCCGGCGTTCGCGTACGGGCTGAGCCAGACGGGGGCGAGCTGCAGCGGCGGCGCGCCGAGCCAGCTGGCGGCCGTCATGGTGTGGGAGCTCCTGCGGTCGGGCGAGCTCGAGCGGCGGCTCGTCGAGGAGTCGATCCCGCAGCTGAGGGAGCGACATCGACGCGTCCTCGAGGCTGTGGAGGCGCTCCTCGTGCCGCTGGGCGTGGCGGTGAGGCGGTCGAGCCTCGCCGGCGCGGAGGTGTATGGGGGGTACTTTGTGTGGCTGACTCTGCCTGAGGGCGTCAGGGGGGCGGATGTCGCGAACAGGGGCAAGGAGCTTGGTGTGACTGTTGGTGCTGGGGAGAAGTTTGAAGTCGCGGGGGATGAAGATGGCGCTCGGTTCGAGAGGGAGGTCCGTATATGCTTCTCGTGGGAGGAGCTTGAGGACGTTGTCGAGGGAGTCAGGAGGCTGAGCCATGCGGTGAGGGATGTGCAACAGGGCAAGTCTGTGGCTGGACCCAAGGTTGATGCGACGTACATTGAGAAATGATCATCGATGCTTCCTGAGACATAGACCAGGCTGCATGTGTTGTACGACGAAGTGGAGCTGTAGAGAGACTTTGAAGTCTGCTGATATTGGAGTTTGGTGGCCAAGTCTTCACAAGAAAGTCTTCACATGAAAGTCTTCACAAGAAATTCTCAAGAAATTCTTCACAAGAAAGCTGGAAATCAAGACAGCAGCAGGCGGCGCCACAGTTTGTGGTTGGCCAGCATCAGCCAAACCCACGAATTGCATGCCGTTAACTTCATCTCCACGCAGTCGTGTGCACAAACGTGTTCTTCGAGCGTGCTGCATCCACAGCGCAGGGCGAATCCGAAACCGGC